GTAAAAAAATCAGCCATCCCTCTCAATGTATGTTTATATCTGATGCCTCATACCTGATGCCATGTTGTGGTATTTAACTGTCACTGTCGCCACTTCCGGTCAGTGTGAAATTGCTGGCAATGATGTAGGAATGTTTGGAACCGTCTAATGAATCATATTCAAAAAGTTTTAGCCATCCCTTACTTAGTATGAATAAATGAATTTTGGACAGCACTTGACCTTTGCTGTCCAAGGTCACTGTCAACAAAAAGTTGCTGTCAATGGTGTTTTTCGACTCAGTATTACCTATATATTAAATATTATCAAAATTGTCCATCCCTACCAAAGTATGATTAAAAGTGAAAATGGGCTCCCTTTAGGCCCCCACACCACCTAAATGGGCAGGTTAATTCCCGGCAGCAATCCAGATGTTTGACTAGTAGGCATTGGCAAACAATTATGCCCTATCAGACAATTTCCCTCTCTTAGTATGATTAACTGAAGCAGGCGCCCGGTCTAAAATACTATGTATCTGAGATATGTATCCCCGTTAAGCGGCTTAATTTTTTTATGCTGATACTTTCATACAAATAAAGCTGGGCCTTTTTATTTAGCCTTCCAATTTGAATACTTTAACTGACTTTGCTAAGGATACTGTGTAATCCTGGACGGATCTTTTAAATATTTATTAACAAGCAGCGCATTACAAAATAAATATACCACGGAGTACATAATTATTGCAGTGCACATGAATAACCTTGAAGGTACAAACTCATTAACATAAGGCTGCATGTATAAGTTTGCTTTGATTTCCTTTCATTCCCTAGAAAGATAAAATCTCAATTGGTAGCTAAGACTTTCCAGTCTAGAACTGATACCATTCTCTGAACAAATCTATAGCTTAGTTCCGTAGATGATATGGTTAACTCAATCAATGTGCGTCCCTGTTTATTCGCAGGACTAGGGATGTAGCATGCAGTTTGATTGAAAGCTACGACGGGTTGTTGGTTCTATCATGTCAATATGACCAATTTGGAAGCAAATAAGATTAGACTCGGAGAACAATATTGTCAATTGATTTTGACTTTCATTGCTAATTTGAAGCATATCTGCTCGCACTATGCATGTTTCTTTTCCCGGTAAATGTACTCCAGTGTCGGAGCGGCTCCTTTTACTGACCTGGAAAATTTTGAAAAATGAACCCCAAATATGCGATTTGGTGGCATATCTGATTATAATAATATATCTCATAAATCGATTAATTTAGGCCAAAACCGACCTGCAAGTAATTTACAACCATCACCCAGTGAAATTATCATATCGTCATATTATTAATTAACGTATCATCATTGTATCGTCAAGAGTCAAGAGAATTTAACTGGTTAAAAACGGGACTAGTTGAGACAATATTGACCATTTGAGTTACCAGTTAGGAATATTGAATAAGTAGGAATCCCCATTGCAGGATTCCGAATTCCGGCCCACACCTAGCACACCTGGCCCATTATACCAGCCCATTCCAGACTCCAGTGGCGTGGCGGCCCGTTAAAGCCACCGGCCACATACAACATGATCATCATCGTTCCATGGCCGGTCCAATACCCCCCCCCCCCCCCATATAATGTTCAGCAGAAAAAGGGTTTTTTTTAGACGAATTGGAGAAAAAATAATTTTTTTCATTTTTTGTCCGAACGGCCCTTCGCCCGATCCGCCCCTGCGCACCATGAGGCACAAACGTCTGTACACGCCACATAAATCTTCATATTCTATTAATTTCTATGATTGCCTTATCATAATTTGACAGGTAAACCATTTAACCTCTAATTCTAAAAAAGAAAAATCAACTTCTTTCGCGTGAAAATTCTGACATCAGAAATTCTAAAATTGCTGTAGCTCACAAATTTGTTGCCTTATCGAAATCCCAAGTGTCAAATAATTAACAGGGTAAGTAGATTTCCTTGTTAATAATATGCGTAAAAGACACGCATGGTTTATGACGCGGACGGCACGATATGCCAATTGTAATAATTGAGCATGGTGTTTTTGTGTTCGTTTGAATTGGGAAACAAAACCTCAACTTTACACCATAACCAATTTGTATAGTGTTACGATAATGAATATTGGCTGTTCTTAGGAGAGTCGAATCCTATATTAAACCCCGACTAACTTTATCTGAAAGAATGTTGTTTTGTTTCGAACGGGAAAATCCAATTAACTTGTTATCAATGAAATATCAGCACACTGGTGGTAGTTTGAGCACACGTGGGTAGGCCTATAGAACACTAATGACATTTTAAAAACATTTTATGTCTTGACTTAAATAATCATCTATCGAATTTGTGACACTGCGTATCATTTGGGTATAGAATACTACTGGTATTTTAAAACCGTTTACCTCTTAACTAATCATTTCTCATAATGTATCGAATTTGTGACATTGAATTATTTTCGTGTATTGGAAATTAATTGATGTGGCAGCTGTCAAAATATATATTTCGTCATCTTAATATCTTTATCCAAAGGGTATGTTCTTTGTTGAAACTCTTTAAATAAAAGAGAAGTTTTATCGGATACTCTTTATTACTCAAACTTTAGCGAAATTGAGCGATAGCTTAGAATTTTAAACTTTTGAGCTATTTGGTAGAATTGCAACACGAGGATGCGTAACAGATGAGTCATACTGTTAGGGTGCCCCACCATAAATAAATATCTTGACAATATATATATATATCTGGACGGATTTTTTTTTTATTTATGCATTTATCTACCGTAAACAAAGAAAGTAAATAAAGTACAAGTACTTCTTTGTTTACGGTAGATAAATGCATAAATAGATTTAAAAAATCCGTCCAGATATATATATATATATATATATATATATATATATATATATTATATATATATATAAACCTTAAATCAGTTTCTCACATTTATAGTGAGCTATGACCATTTAACTAACCACCCATAAATAATAGGAGAGGAGTCAACATCGGCCTAGCCTGTTCTCCAATCCATTTTCAAATGAAATAAAATATTGTTTACAAAAAAAAAAAATCAAAAAAAAAATCTGAAAATGGTTACGAGTGTCGGTCATAACATTCGGGCACCTTTGAGTAAAATTGACAGGCCGGGATAATCAAGACTACTTTTTTACGAAACATAACAAAAAGATGAACAAGAAATTGAATTTAGAAACACACACGTTAGGCAACTCAACAATTGTTTTAAGAACCATGTAAAAGTAAAATGAAAGTACTGCTAGTATCACGTTCTTGCCTAACCCGAGTGTTTCAGAGATATCATTATTTTGTACTAAACCAAAAGATGCCGCTCCTAACGGTATAGTTAATGATAAAGCAATTTAAAAAATAAAACGGACGTAATTTCTAAAGCTGCTGTAATAACCAAAACATTAAATATTACTGCTATTTAGAATCGTCAATAATAAATCTTTTACGGCTGTAATAGTTGATAGATGTGTAGAGAATTTCACGTATTTATAGACTCATAGACTTTTGCGCTGAGTGTTATCGTACCGCGTGACTAGCCAGAAATCACTTCGAGACAAGCCAATGAAGCGTGCACAATGCACATCCACCGTGTCGAGTTCAACTTTCAGTAGAGGAAATTTTCGCTGCACGGGGCACCCCAATACTGTTATGATAGATTGTTTCTGTCTGTTTGTGTGCCCGTCACGCTTTTTGGGACACAATAACTATCCTTCTAATTGAGCTAGAATGTTCAAGGGTGTTTATTAGGTGAATGTCTTGATGGAGTTCGAAGATGAGCATATTCTGCTTAGGGTAAGCAGAGATAAGCAATTTAATTGGTTGATGTTTTGGGACACAATAACTTTAGTTCTGATTAAGTGAGACTGTGAGAGTGATCAAACTTTGTATATAGTTTCATTACATAAATACCTTAACTAAGTTCGATAATGAACATTTTCTGCTCAGGGTAAGCAGATGCCACGATGGAGTTCGAAGATGAGCCTTTTCTGCTTAGGTTAAGCAGAGATAAGCAATTGGATTGGGTTATGCTTTTGGACACGATCACCTTAATTTGTAATTAAGTGAGAGTGATGAAACTTGTTGTATAGTTTCATAACATCAATACCTTGACTAGTTCGATAATGAGCATTTTCTGCTCAGAGTAAGTAGAGCGATGAGCAATTTGATTGGTCTAGAATTTGGAACACAATAACTCTCTTTCTAGTTGAGTTAGAATGTTCAAACTTGGTGTATGTGTTCATTAGATGGGGTTCGAACATGGGCATTTTCTCCTTTGGGTAAGCAGAGATAAGCAATTTGATTGGTCGGTGCTTTGGGACTCAATAACTTTGGTTCTAATTAAGTGAGAGCGGCGAAACTTGGTGTACAGTTTCGTCACATCATTACCTTGACTTAGTTCGATAATAAGCTCAGGATAAGCAGAGTGATAGGCAATTTGTTTGGTCGAGACTTTGGAGCTCGACAACTTTCATTCTAATTGAATGATGGTGGTTAAACTTCGTCTATAACTTGTAATACTTTTAGTAGAATTTTTGCTCGAGAAATAACATATTCGCATAATATGTGATATGTACTTAAAATACTTAAATCAACTTAGGGTTTGAATGACATATTATGATATAAAAACACTTGTAGAGCCATAACATAACTGGTTCTATGTCAACAACATGTTAACAGATATCTCATGAGAATATTCTTCAGTAAAATTCCATTCCACCATATAAGGGTGAGTTGTCGACGTCATTGGGCTCAATTAACCAATCTCTATAATTATTTACATCATATTTGACCAATTGGATAATTGAATGTCCAAAACCAGTAGATACAAAATTAGGATACTGGTGAGAATTCGCCAGACTTGCATTAGATTCCAGAGATCGAGGGTACATCTGAGTTCCTAGACAGCCGAGAGGCTGGATAGGGTGGAGAAGTGGTTTTAGCTATATAGTATTGTAATTTGTGCTATGCTTGTATACCTGTATTCAGCTATATATATATATATATATATATATATATATATATAAAATATGTAGAAGCAAACTGTCGCATTGTTATTCCTGTAAGACAGACGTCTTAAGAAACTGTGAGAAGTAAAAACACAACGTGAAGCAGAAGTAAAGACAGCTAGAGACAAATTCTAGACGATCACAAGGCTACAGAAATATGTAGTAAGAAAAGATGCATGGGTTGTATGTAGGATGTGGCGACCGGTTTCCCATAGACGCTCTCCACGTCAGACAGAAGACTCATGGTGCTACATATTCTATTTGGTGCACGTGACTACGAGATCGAGTAACCTGGAAGAAGAATACATATTCTATTTGGTTGCCGTGACAGTTTCGACCTTTAGGGTAAGCAGAAAATTTGGAAGAAGATTAGAAGAAAAGAGAGTATGCATCACACGTTGGATGTGGTGAGTTCTCCCGTAATATTTTCCACATCTAACCAGTGACTGCATAGCACTGCATAGTCTTACATATTCGATTTGATGCCGTAACGCAGTTTCGACCTTTGGGGTAAGAAGTCACTTTAGAAGAAGAATACATATTTGAAGACGTTAAGAAGAAAACCTGTACAATCCAGCAACAGAAAATTTCTGGTGGAAAAAAAGAAATCTGGTGGAGATATTCGAAAAATTGGGTAAATACATTTTGTTTGGAAAATTAAATGTGTTAAATTTGTTTAAAGACCAAATAATATTAATTTAAAGTTAACATCTGATAAGAAACTAAGTATTTAAAATTTAACTGTATAGAGAATAAATTAGAGTCATTCATAAGTTGAGATTGATAGGTTTATTAAACAATATAATATCACTGGTTAGGTATGTATATTATCGGGTTAACATGACCTGTTGTAAATTTGAGTAAAATTAAAGTTAAAGAGAAAGTTTAGGGAGTAGGTTTTAAAAAAAATGTTTTGATATAACTAAGGAATAATAAGGAAACGGAATAGGGAATAAAATAAGGAACTAATGTTGTCTCCGGATCGCAGTGGGAAGACGGCAGATCTAAGGATGACGTTTGTGAGTGATTAACTCTAATTTCCTAGTTGGCCGTGGTTTTTACTGTGATTCGTTAATTTGTGTTTTTTTGTTGTTTCGTATACTATATAATTTTGAGGCCCTTAGTCGAGGCCTTAGAGTTGTTGTAATTTAACTTTTGATTAAAAAGTTAGGTTATGTTGAAAATCCCATATGGTTCATCTAGGGATGTTGGTTATAGTTTTCCTGGGAAAAAACTAAAATTATTGGCACGTTAAATTGTGAGATTATCGCAAAGTCATTAATACGAGTTTAATAGGAGGTTAAAGTTAAGAATGCGACACTTTTTTTTAGAAAAGTGTAGGTATACGGTAGATTTTGTCCGTATATAATTTTATGTAATTAAATTTTTGCTTTAGAAACGTAATATTATCGTTTAATATATACTGCTAATTGTTTTAAGCTGTCGACACAAGAGGATAGGAATGTGTAATTTGACATGAGGTCGAATTATAATAAACAATAGGTTCTAACACTGTGTTAAAAGTCACGTTATGCGTTAATATATAGGATATAGTAAACTGTATGTGTTTTAGACTAATGTTCCTGTGGATGAAAGTGCACTCATTCACTTGGGACATGGTTATAAATTAAATGAAAATGGGGTTTTGCATCAAACTGTAGGATGGAATGGAGTGTCATTCATATACTGATCATATTTGATTGACAGTTCTATTCTAAATAACCTGTTAGGTAATACTAATGTGGAATAAGTAACCATGGGCTTATTTCATGTATTGATTTTTGACTAACATACAAAATGGTGGATTATAATGATTAGGTCAAAAAGGTCACATTACTGACGGTGAAATATAAAATAACAATGTAGGAATTCTAAAACAGAAAACGCAATTATAAAATTACTGATCGAGTTCAGGTCATGAGGTCAAAGTAAGTTTGAAGATTTATAATTAAACGGACACATCAAAGTTTATTAATACTTAAATAAAGTTACTTTTAATTAAGAGTAAGATTTACAAATAATTTTTCGAAATAATAATGTTAGATTAATATGAAAATAAAGTTTTAAAAAAAAATAGTAATAGTTAGTTCTTGGTCTGATGGCAATGACATGTTTGATTGACGGATAAAATTGTACAAACCAATCATACTTAGAAGAAAAAAAGAAAGTTTCAACTTGATACTATGGTAGCTGGAACAGACCAATACAAATCCAAGAAGAAGAAATGGTTTACCAGTTTACCAAATTGACATTTTCTGAGACAGAATTTAATGTGAAACCTGAACTTTATAAATATTATGTGATGTGTTATAGTGTTTTGAAATTAGGACACTTGAAGATTTAAAAAAGACAATTTGTGTTTTCTGTGTTTAGGCTTAGTGGATTTTCATAGGATTTTACAGTGATGAACTTTTTGGAGAACTTTTGCATGCAACTTTTGACTTTTGATTTTTGATTATTTGTTTTTATTTCATAGTTTTGTTATATAGTATAGTATCATTGATATTTGCCTGTTGCATGAATAATTATAGGGTTTAGCACATAGAAGTTTTAAGAGTCTCTTACCTGTTCATTTAGCATAAATCTTGCAAGTGGGGGAGGTGATATATGTTGATTTTCTAGATTTCTGCTACATTTATGAATAGTTATATAATTCTACAGATGTTGGTATGGTTATTATAAAGGATTCGAGGGAACTTTTACCCAAAACCGAGCAAAAAGTCTTAAAGAAAGGGACGAATGTAATACTTTTAGTAGAATTTTTGCTCGAGAAATAACATATTCGCATAATATGTGATATGTACTTAAAATACTTAAATCAACTTAGGGTTTGAATAAAAACACTTATAGAGCCATAACATAACTGGTTCTATGTCAACAACATGTTAACAGATATCTCATGAGAATATTCTTCAGTAAAATTCCATTCCACCATATAAGGGTGGGTTGTCGACGTCACTGGGCTCAATTAACCAATCTCTATAATTATTTACATCATATTTGACCAATTGGATAATTGAATGTCCAAAACCAGTAGATACAAAATTAGGATACTGGTGAGAATTCGCCAGACTTGCATTAGATTCCAGAGATCGAGGGTACATCTGAGTTCCTAGACAGCCGAGAGGCTGGATAGGGTGGAGAAGTGGTTTTAGCTATATAGTATTGTAATTTGTGCTATGCTTGTATACCTGTATTCAGCTATATATATATATATATATAAAATATGTAGAAGCAAACTGTCGCATTGTTATTCCTGTAACACGGACGTCTTAAGAAACTGTGAGAAGTAAATACACAAGGTGAAGCAGAAGTAAAGACAGCTAGAGACAAATTCTAGACGATCACAAGGCTACAGAAATATGTAGTAAGAAAAGATGCATGGGTTCTACGTAGGATGTGGCGACCGGTTTCCCATAGACGCTCTCCACGTCAGACAGAAAGACTCGTGATGCTACAAACTTCAATCTGATTGGTCGAGACTTTGGAACACAACAACTCTCCTAATGGAGGTACACTGTTCAAACTTGGTGTAGGTGTCTATTACTGTATTAGGTGAATGCATTGACATTCGATCATGCGCATTTTCCACTTCGGCTAAGCAGAGATAAGCAATTTGATTTGTTGAGACCATGGAAGACGATAATTTGGTGAGAGCGATGAAACTCCCGAGTATAGATTCATTATATCAATACTTTGACTAAGTTCGATAAAGATGATTTTCTGCTTGGGGTAAGTAGTGATAAGCAATTGAGGTAAAATGTTTAAATTTGATGTAATGTTCATTAGGTGAATGTTTTGACTGAGTTCAATGATTAACATTTCCCACTAGAGCTAAGCACAGCTAAGCAATTTCATTGGTTGGTGCTTTGGAACACGATAGCTTTGATTCTATCTGATGGAGAGTGATGAAACTTCGTGCATAGTTTCACTACCAGGTACTTCAAAACCTTGACTGAGGTTAATCGTGAACATTTTATGCTTAAACTAAGTATAGATAATCAGTTTGATTGCTCAATACTTTCGAAAAAGATAAATTTGCAATTAATTAATATTGTGTCATCTGTTTATTTTGGGATGTCGGCGGGGGACATCAGCATCGCCGTTGGCTTGTTTAGCCTTAGAAATTACCGTTACAGGCCTTGATTTCCTGTTAAGAATAGAAACTAATCATAGAATGTCTTAAATGTGATCAAATTGTTTTTTTATCAAACGCTGACATGCACACAAAGAATGTCAGTATGGTTTAACTGCCATTGCTGTTGGCAGTTATTTACCAATTAAAGAGTTATTGGCATACACAATATATGTATTAATATTTATGATGTCATAAAAGCATCATTGTATACTAGTATCGATAGTCTAGGTTATATGGCTTTCCAAAATCATGACTATACAATTTAATAGCTTTCAGTGTTAAATAGTCTTATTATTAAAACGGCTGTTCAGGGTAATATTGTCAGATAAACAGGTGTCTTCTTCCTTCAAACAATATCCAGAGCTCCAAATCGATTTTCAGACACCTGTTTAACAACCGTTAAGAGTACAGCTTAATCTGATAAATCCGTTTATCACAAAGAGGTTATTTGATGTGCTTACATGAATAGCGACATGTTTATAATTCCAATAAAAGTACAGGTTAATCGCTGTTCCAACCTTATTAAAAAAAATATACGATGGGGAATATTCATTTTACAGAAAATCAGTCGGGCTACTTCGACCGTTTAGTAGCGATTGTCCTTGGCAATTAACTCAGACCTTTGAGAGCAAAACATATCTTTTGTATATAACCGTGTATGATATTCCGGGTTTGATATTCCATTTTAATCTGAAGCACTGAAAGGGGGTGGGGATAAATTCTGGTTACGGCTTGAAATCGCCATGCATTGAGTGGTAATTGATGATCAAACAACTTCATTCGGTCGTGGGCGGGTTTTCAGAGGGTCTGTGAAGTGGGTCTTCAACATCCGTGATACCCGTTTTGACTGGTCTTATCTACATTGCCGTTATTGGTCATTGGACTCATTAGTCGTCCAATGGTCGCACGATTCACAACTGCCAAGACAGCCCTCATATTTCGCACTACTGACATGGTCGCGGATAATCTCATCTTGAATGTGAGAGGGGCCTTGCAATAACCGACAACACCCGTCACAATTTGCAGCTACATGTATAAGGTCAAAAAACACACCAGTCACTTCCAACAGTTTATTTAATAAGCTGATTTATTGCTAATTCAGAAAGAGGCAAACTTTTAATATTAACTCCAATGTGAAAGACTAAAGTATTGGCGTCACTTTTAATGTATTCCTCCAATGTGAAAGACTAAAGTATTGGCGTAACTTTTAATGTATTCCTGTGTGTGTGGTGATGTAACTTTATAGACGATGCTAGGCTAGGGGCATTCATCTTAAATTATATCTATTCAAAAGAGGAATAGATTGTACTCGACCAAGCATAGCCTTGTACCTTAACCGGCGTCGTTTGACAACCGCATCCATCTAGCCAATGACTTACAACAACACCAAGCACTGTTCGACTTGAATACCAATGTCAGTGCAAGATGGAGGAGAGCAATAAGTCAACAGTTCTATTGACCTATCTTCATTGTCAAGTTATTTCCGATATACTTAAAGCCAATGATTGCCATGTCCATGTTTTCAAATTGATGATTTAACAATTAATTAAGAACACTAAATCAAAATATCAACGAAAATCTCCCCGTTTAGATTCAGTCGGATTATAAAGAGGCATGTCAACGTATTTTACCCATGCAAGATTTAAGGGTTGCACTTAACGGTATAAAACCATTCCTGGACTAGTGTTGCCTTTAGAGATTTTCAATTTTCATAACATTGTAGTTGCCAGGAATTGAAAGGATTTTAACTAAGGTACCAGTAAGTTGATTAACTTAAGACAGAGCTGTTAACATAATGGATTGCATATCATCAAGGATAAATAGCAACAGGGTATTGAGATTAACCGGTTTATTCTATTGATTTAGGTAATTGAATTGGACATTGATCTACAGAATCTAAAGTCTGGTGTTAATTCGGTCGGAGTAGAACACTAGGACGTTTAACCTCATTTCAAGGGGAAACCACACCGGAATTATGCCGAGGAACTTTATCGGCCGTCGCCGGTCGGTATCGAACCCAAGTTAGCGAGTTGATAACATAAAAAATGATGCCAGGAAGAATCCGTAAAATTTTATAGGAAAAAGAATAATGTATAAATAATTTTATAAACAATCAAACCAAGGCTAGGATTTAGATTCGCGTTAAAGATCGGTAATATACACAGACAAAAATAGAATAATAAAAATTTCGCCAAGACATGCTATGTTTTCCCCCTCGAAAAAAATCCACTTCAACATCGTGAATAACAATAAACAAATTCTATGAATGACGTATAAATTTAAGCTGGCGTTAACAGTTAGAATTTGTGTAATCTATTTACCACGAAGTCAATTTTATTACACTATAATCTGCGAACAAATCTCGTCTTGTAATAAAATACATAAACTCGCAAAACCAGAGAATCAAAGTGGGAATGAGTACAATGAGTGATTTAAGAGGGTCGATACCCAACAGTGGTATATCACTGTTAATCTTTTATTAACAGGAACCAATAGAAAACAAATCCTTCATTGATACTACGACCTTTGTATACAACACCCAGGCATGTTTTACAGCAATAATCACTTTCCACGTCAATAAACAACACTTTTAAAAAAAGAATAAATGTAACACCCTATCATGTAAGCCATGGCGAACGCTGATATATAGATTATCTATCAAATCCACGGCAACATTATGTTGAATAGCTTAATAAGAATAAATACAGCGCACTGTAACTTATCAAATAAATTGCATTTTAATGCATAATCTAATAATATGGATTTTCATTGGAATTGAGTTACCTAACTGGTATCTCATAAATACGGTCTATGCTGGTCAACGAATGGTCGTTCCATGATAAGAAGAATGGTTATACTTCACCTACAGAACCTGAATGTTAATTTTGGAAATACCATCAAAACTACACAGAATACCAGTTGGAATGCACCTAACGCTAATGCGGCGTATTTTTTGTCATTTAGTACAACATTCACCGACACTATTTTTATTTATACGTTTATTTGTGTACCCTTTGCCTTTCAGACCAGTGTCACTGACCTTTTGCCCTTCAGAACACTATGTCACATGACTTAATTTAAATTATCTTTATTTCTCTGGGACAGAATCTTAGCGAAAAAATTTCAAACGCTAAGCACATTTCCAATATCGCAAGTAGTTTATTTTATTAAATTATAAGCTTATATGTTTTTCGTGCTTAGTAGAATCTGTACGAGCAGTTGCATCTTCTCAAGGGACATCTTGTAAGCGGTCAGGATAAATTCCCCCTGTAGAAATTATTTCGTTTCATCTCTTTAATAAACGGTCACTCCTCTAACGCTCCCGACTGTCAATAATTTAATTTATCCAAAACAGTATTTATTCAACAACCACTGTTGATATCCGCCATTGTGATTTTACTGTTACTATGGTATCTCGTCGTATTTGCGTCTAATAATTCCTGGATTAACAGTTACTTATCTGGCCCCCACAGATAAGGGAAAAATATTGTCTGTATAATATCTTTGTGGCCCTATGGCGAAACATGTTCATTTATTTTTTAAAACTCTGCATATTTACGTAGCAAATACGATTGGGGTTTTAAGTGGCTTAAAGGGTACAGAAGTGCCTAGTTCTCCATAGCTGCCTGCAGTATCGATGATATCCGTGCATATGGCGCCGTGGCCTTGGCCTTCGTAATTTACATAATTGCAATAGAAATAAATAAGTTTAGGGCAGAAGAACCACCCTTCAACTTGTCATTATATTTTTAAGATTATGTGATTTCTAGCGTGTACCATAAATTCGAATTTAATGCAAGTGTGTGTTTCTTGTATAATCGGAAATTACAAGTGAAAAGTTACGTAAACACAGACACGCGAAATAACATTTAACTGTAGAAACGCGTTTATGTCAAAGATTTGGTTTATCATTCTTGACTTTATCTCTCTTGTTTATAAGCAGCTACCTAATGTAAATTACAAGTAACAGACATTCACGTGTGTCCGCATTAGCCTGTTCTAGGGTTTGTTAGAGGCCGATGGAATGTAAATAATCTAGTATTGACACAATTCATCCTCATCTTAGAATTCAGCGCGGTTCCCTTTGTCATCGGTGCAGGGCAGGGGGGCTGGGAAAGCAACGTTTCTATATAGTGGTTCGGGTTGGACGAAAAACGGTGTATACGTTGGCGTGAACGTGAAAGATCCATTGGCAGTTGGGATTTGACGAAGAGTAGGTGGGAACGCCACTGGTAGGGTAACATTTTCCTCATAACCTACTGCATGACGTATGCCAGTCTTCATTATTTCTTTTGGTGTTTAAAAGTAGGACGTTAAACCCAGTGCATTGCTTATCGTCCTGGAACTTAAATCAAGCTAAGGGTATTTTCTGTTTTCTTTGGTTAGGGGTGGGGGTTAAAGCCTATGATACGCTGCGAGGAATATGATCTACTCTGCGACGAATGATAACCCCTAGAGTTATACCCCTTTGTTTTGAAATCTTAGAACAGGCAATAGTTATCAACATATATCTTTTTGAGTTTGTTATCTATCCTATTGAACAGAAGAACGGTTTAAGATACTTTCCAGAGTTATTCCCCGTTGTTACGAAATCTTGTTAAAGCCTTAGAAATTATAATCCGATTTTTTTTGTCACTTTCAATAGTTGTTTAGCTCATAACAGATCGGACGACTTAGATGCTAGTGGGCACGTGTTTTGTTTTTTGACAACCTATGTTTATGTAATTTCTATTACCAAAATTTTCATTTAGGAATTCACACATTTACGTCCCTGGTACAATCATCACCTGTTTACATAAGACCGATTGATGACTTCTGAGAAATACAGCCGTGTGACCAGGTATTATAGGGTCACAAATCGGTTAGCAAACATCGTTATTACTGTCATTACAATTCAATTAAGTACATCGAGTATAAAAACAAACATTAAGAATGTATGAATAGTTCCCCAGATGGTGGCTTGAAATCAATATAATTAATGTAAGCTGTGAACTGTCTTAAACTCAGCAAAAGGTCTTTATGCAAAAGCGAATTATTGTCCCAAATAAAGCCTGGTTAATTTCGACTAGACTTTTCTCTTGTAAAAGATTTAAACTGGTTTATTTGCCCCACCTTTCCGCTCAGACGCGCAAGTGATCCTTTAACCAGTTTAACGTTAAACGTCTGAACACGAGGGTGGGACAAAAAAATAAATTTAAAAAACCCAACTCTTTTCTTGTCTTCGAAAAGGCTTTTCTTGAAAGCTTTCTTATCTATCGCCGCCGATACTAAGCTATCTCTCTGACAAAATGACGACGTGCTCATATGTATTAACTCTAAACAACCAGATTTTAAAAAAATTTGGCTTTGCAACACTATCCTGTCTTAAAATCCCTAGCGATTTTTAACTAGTTTATATATAAACGTCTGGAGAATTATATTTTAAACTCTGTATTTGATTTCCATGTCGGCTTATCGTCCCTTTATAAAATATATCAATGATAGGATACGCTATTAATTATTCACGGAGGCTATGGTATTCATTAGGATTTAACGTTTTCACAGACGAGCTGTCGAAAAAGAATTTCTGAATTACCAATATATTATATTCAGATGGCATATTATAACCATTGAATGTCGGCAAAAATCGCGATAAATCTTCTAACACTGTCAACAATATTCTCTGGGTTTATCATCTTATCGCGATGCAGTGTGTCTACGCTTCACAAAATGTGCATGCCAACGTGTATACGGGGCCTCGGATTTAAGCCCCATCCGAACGAATAGGTGCAGATAATTCGTTTTGCACTAAGTGTTATATGTATATTCTGGAAAGCCGTACAAAGTAGCACGGTTCCTGAAAGGGGTATTCTTTAGTACTTGACAAGCAGTCGTGATTATTCCCAGTTTTAAAGACAATACTTACCAAAATAGAACCGTACTTCAATATCAGATGGGAAACTATTGAGCTGTTTACCTAGCGTGCTAAAAGCCGTAAAAGTCCACATCCACCTACATACACTATAATCAGAATCTAAAATCTTGACAGTCGCGGTGGCTCAGTTAGTAAGATCATAGCTCGCTAACCAGTACCTCTGGATTTTCAGGCGTGGTTTCCTTATCTATGAATAAACTGCATGTTCTTAGTTAGTGCATGTGACAAAATTGTTAGCAAAGTTAGGATGCATATATATTGGTGTAGTAGAGATAGAGAGAAATGAGGTTTAACGTCCACTCGACACAAACCAGGTCATTTCGGGACTAACACATGGTTCAATTTTATTTCAATAATTCGCTTGCGCGTAGGGGTCTTTAGCAGTGGGGGACCCGGAGAAAACCCACGAGGTTGAACAGGGGACCCTACTCCTTGTCACGTACAACCGGGGAATCGAAACCACGCCAGTTGACTAAGTGACAGACCGTATGATACAGCGCGCACGTGCTAACCATTCGGCCACCCAACCCCCGTGTAGTAAAGCGGCTAATCATAAAAAACCATTCACTTTTTGAGTAAAGCATAAATCTTTTCACAGGGGGTAGTATGCCATGAGGATCGTGGAAAAATGGACCATCCAAAATAAAAGGGCCCTGGTGGCCGCCATATTAAATTTCAAAATGATCACCAAAAAAACTTAGTTTTGTTCAATTTTACAGCATTTCGGACAGGAAATCAATATCGAGGAACATTATGGAAGTATCAGAGATTTCGTCAAACGGCCGCCGAATTGGATTTCGAAAATGTATTAATGCCAGAAATGAAATTCTAACGCTTACTGTATCAGGTGAGTACATCCAACTGTTAAAACTATAAATACCAGAAATCGAATTCTAACACTTAGTGTGTCTGATGAGTACACCCAATTGTGAAAATTCGCTCACAACAGCCACCATATTGGATTTCAAGACGGTCATCGGGTTTTATACATTTATTTGTATCTTAAAAACTATAAATGACAGAAAATTTAACGCTTACGGCACGTAGTGAGTATTATCCGACATCATAAACTGTTAAAATCACTTACAGTAGCCACCATAATATTGGAATTTAAGATAACTCAACTCTTCATGATTTTATTTCTGAATGCATATAGACTAAATATATTTGATTTCATATACTCCCATTCCCATACAAGTCGATTTTGTATGATTTATGATACTTTGGTATCCTACTATAATGTGCACATTTTCGTGTCTTACCCAAGACTTGAGCCATAATAGGGTAAATCAGTCCTTATGCCTACCGATGTACTACCGATGGAAATTAATGAGCCTCGGGAGGCGTCAGGAACAGGTTCTCCTGCGTCCCAGGAAAGCTTCGGGAGCGTCGCGAGCCATCGGGAGGCCTGGCGATGATGTTGATTATCGGCGAAGGTACCCCGGAGCTTTCCCGATTATTGGGAGTCGTCCCCGATGATACACGGCAATTGTTGGGGGACATTCCCAGAAACTTTGTGACCATAGCCGGAGCACCGTGAACGTTCACCGGACCATCCACAATACCTAATAAGACTTCTCCGTATTTGTGAGCAGAAATATCGGGAGCCATTGGGAGAAAACTTGTTTATTTCCACATCGCCGATGATTTTTCCCCAGTGGGATGGATCTAGGCATAAGCCAATCTACTACATATATTGCAATGTGCACGTTTAATAGTACTACTGTTGTATTTCCTCCACATTCCAAGGTGTCTTTCTACACTGTAAATTAAATTAGGCTTTCATTACTCTAACAGTACGGCAATACCCAAGGAGATATTGGTGGATTTCAATACAGGTATAAAATATTTTACAAAGATTCTACACCACGAATGTATATTGTACATTCTATTACAAATTCAATTCGCTGTGTTATCTCCATCTTTATATCACTTGCATCAGATGTCCAACCATCTTTCATACTGTTCTAACAGAATTCTGAAAACCAAGGTATTTATATTGGTGGCAATATATTCTACACTTATGCTGTCAAGAATAATGAACATATTCCAATGTACGCTCGCCGAAGATGTTGCTCAGACAAGCTAAATTGTTAAAGGATGGAAAATTAACGACATGTTTCGTCAAACATTAACTGTCGATAGAAGTTAACTGAGCCAGCAATGGATTTCAAATTGTGATAAATGAAGAGTAATTTCGGGTATACTTCATTTAGAATGGCTAACGAAGCATTTAAATGTCACAAGTTATGGGACAAGGCAACTTCATTTATAAGATGTAGTTTCTGAAGTTCGCCCAGGTCGAACAATAAATCATTCTCATAAGACAGTAAGGAAACGGGGTCATTATGTCATTCCATTAGTTTATGCGCACACTTGGACAACATTCATAATATGGAAATTGCGGTTATTTACGAAACTAAGAAAGGGAAGACGGTTTAATTGCTAGAAGCTGTTTATGTCCTGTCTTTTTAGAAAATATTTATTAAAGAGCAGTGATTGATATGATATTGATTCCCGATTGAGGTTACATCAAATCTACTTTGCGTTCTAGACTATAATTGTGTTATAAGCGATAACGGACTAAAGAGTCGCAAGGACAGAAAGGGGAGTTTCCGTTCCGGAAGAGTGACATACGGACTGTGAATCACTCTTGGAAATAATTGCCAGGGGGGGGGGGGGTATTACTGATAATATTTCCGATTATGTCCACCATTTTTTTTAAGCTCTAGTCCTATCTGAACTCAAGCCTTGGTTTCTAACCAATTTCGTTTTAATGCATTCATTCATCAGTCTAGTAAAATGTTGATGATTAAACCAATATAAAGATTTCCCAAATATGAGAAACTGTGAAAATATTTTTGTCTGGAGCCAGAAGCCAATAAACCAATCAATACCATTTATATGTCGATGGAGTGATGATTATCGTTACACACATGTAATCAATCAACGTAATATTGAAAATTCGAGATGTCTAAGCAAATATACAGCATTGTGATTGTTACCCTAAGTGTTTGATTAAATATTCAACTTGTAATTAAAGTAGTAGTTATCATTATTGGGGCATCTATTTTACAAAGAACCTGTTAAGTTGAAATCGAATTGTTTGCTGTCGGTACTTTACTTTACGAGGTGTGATATATAGGGTCATATTCAGCTAATTTCTTGGGTCTTAATTTTCACCTTACGTAAAGTATGTACCTTAAATCTATGTGAGATGAAATGAAATGGAGGTTTAACGTCCTGCTGTTCTGTACTGATTGTCCAAAAAAAACGGACATACAGTGCGCCACGATCTACTCTTGTATCGAATTCCAACTGTCAAAGGTTCCTTTATGTGCACGCCAATGTGTACACGGGACGTAGGTTTTTCGTCCCATCCGAACGACTATACGCTGTTCCTTGCCAGGCCCTCCGTTCTACATCACTTGCCAGTAGGAACCACGCGTAAAGTCCAGGTGAACTTTCTCGGTCAACACTAAGATCGAATACGGGACCTCCAGGTTAGCTCGAATCCCCGGTTGTACGTGACAAGGAGTAGGGTCGTCTGTCCAACCTCGTGGAGTTTCTCCGGGTCCTCCGATTTCCTCCCACTGCTAAAGACCCCTACGCGCAAGCGAATTATTGAAATAAAATTAAACCATATGTTAGTCCCGAAATGACCTAGTTTGTGTCGAGTGGACGTTAAACCCTATTTCTCTCTCTCTCCAGGTTAGCGAGCCAACGACCTACTAACTGAGCCACCGTGGCCTCCTTTAATTTGATTTAAACCATGTCTGTCTAAGGTAGTAGCATGTGCTCAACGATACCCCTCCCCCAATTATATCGTTAATTATGACACCATTTTCATTGTATACATGACCAGCACTGCATTAGTTCCTCCCCATTCATGTACAAGGTTGAAGTGGTATTTTGTCCGTCCTAACTGATAGACACACTTTCCTTGTCGACCACACCCCTGACAAGCGAGAACCTGGCTTGAAAAATCCCGATGTTTGTCATCAGAATAAGGTTGTTGTATAAAAATGCCGCTTAAAATTATTATTATTTTTAAAAATATATATTTATTTTTTTTACTTTTTATATCTGCATCAATTTTACTTTAATTCCCTATTAAAGGCTACCTGTCATCAGATTAAGACTGATCTATAAAAATACTGCCTAAACGATAAGAAAACGTTAAAAATAATGATTTGTTTATTATGAGATATTTACAGTGGGTTTAAGATGCAAGAAAGAAATTAGTGGATCGAAAAGTCGTTAACGTTATGGTTTACATAAACCACAGCAGGCGCAGAATATTATGTCTGAAAACATGTTTGGATTTTATCCAACATACATGCTAAATTATGTTGATGATGTTAGACAAACTACTAAGCCCCAGACAGATTTATTAATAAGATAAGGTAGCAGAAATTTGTGTAGTCATCTCATTAAAATCCTTGATTTACAATATTTCAAGTTTTAGATACCTTCTGTTAAACATAACCAGATATCTGAAATTTCTCTTTAAATACATTACATGGCTTCAATAACATATCGTCCAAAAAACTAGTTGTAATACTGTGAAAGTAGTTTTCACCGTAATTGTTTCCATGGAATGTCATGAAATAATTTTTGTACAATTTTATCCCTTCTCACTATATTCCGCATGATTTCGCCAGGATATTCGCAACTTTAAATTAGATATTGTACTGAAATGTTCATTATTTCCAACTAAACAATACATTGGATCATTCCATTGTTAAGGTGCCCCACACTGAAAACAATCTCAAAAGTTATTGAACAATATGAATACAACCGCCCTACCTCAACCCCTTATTAATTATGAAAACAATTTCCCTTTATGCTTTATTTCATAAGATAAATCCAGTTGTCTGATTGGTAAAATAGACTATTTTCGTATTTGGAATTTTCCAATCTCATTGCCCTTGTTTCGAAATTGTCTGTAATGCCTCCGGTCCCATTTGTAATGAAGAGCCTTTGAAACGAGGCAAAACATATTTCATGCAGTAAAATAGTGTAATGGTACGTTCACTTCACCGGGGGAATATGCAAAAGTAACTGGATTTCCCAAAGCTGAGTGGTGACCGGTGTTCCTCGTGCATGACACATGTCACTAAATATCGCCAGACTCTTCCTGAATCAGTGAACAGTATCAACAGCCTGTACCATCGCAAAGAAAACAAACAGACGGAACACGGTAATGCATCATTTTGAGACATCTTGTAGTGAAAACCCTTCTTCAAATGATTCTTTTTACAAAGCCGTGTTAAATTTTACTTTAGATCGCATTCCTATGGTCGTAAATTAGCCCTCGCGGGACCGCATGATTTTTTTGCGATACTTTTTACTGATTAAATGAATGCGATCGTATCGTCGAACAAGCGTATCTGTAAATAACAACGTCAATTTGAAACCCATTCTATATCATTCTACGTAAAAACTAATGCATTTAGTACAGAAGCAAAACTTTTACCTTAATGAAAAGTCGTTTTAGTTGAGTTTATGCGTTGATGTGTGACAGATCTACACGGAGTTTAAAGATAAGAAAAAGGTATATGTTCAATGAGATATAGGTTAATATCACTCCGATTGTCATTCTAGAAGCCCCCATAGAACTCTCCACTCTGACTACTAGATTTTTTCTTTCTCGTTCAAATTGGCCTTTCAATTATCCTTAAGTCTTGCCAAATGCCAGCTAACATATTTATTCTTATTAGTTTAAGCCAGCAGGGAATCGCAAAGAATGGTGCGTCACGTTGGCACAATTGCCATCAGTCAAGACATATTTGTTCCACCAATACAGGAGAGCTCTACGGTAATCATATACTGATTAAATAGAAA